TTTGGGGGATTAACTGGAGTCCTGTATGAGAGGGTGGCAAACCTGGATGTTGAGTTGTTTAGCTGTAGTTGGAATAGCATTAAGATTGTATTTTATCTTTTTAAAAATCTGTATTTGGTGTAGAACCTTGTCTCCTTTGGCGCCTTCGATAAAGTTGATTTGGGTTAAATCCTGGAGTTGACTGGTGGCCTTACAACACCTGCCTCAGCTAATGATCCCCTGAAGTTTTATTTGGTTTCCGTTTGCTGTACCCAAAATGGATCCTAGCCTTGCTCCAAAGTGAATAGACCACCAAACACAAGGAATGGCATTTTCAGCTTCTTTTTTTTGGAATACTCCAGCAAAAGGAACCAAGATCCAGAGTGGTGTTTTTTCCAATTACTTTTATACAGTTCAAAGCAAGAAAACAAGGAAATAGCATGTTTTACAAAATGTCATTGGTTAAACATACATGATTTGCTTTATATGGAACGTCAAGTGGACAGACTGCCTGAGGCACCCCTACTTGTACACAATCACTCCATCCTTTAAACATTTATTAATTCCCTCTGTTCCGCCAGGCACATATCTCTTTCTGCTCAACCAGGCACATAGCACACATACACATTATTTCTTGGGATGGCTCCCTCCTAATTCCAGCGCTAATCCATCACCTTTCTGCAATTTAGCCAGACCTAGAGTGGGGGGAGGATTTCAGTCTTCTCCTGGTTCTCCAGAAGGCTGGTGAGGAAGGGAGAAAATGGCTTATATAACAAAGGGGCTGAAGGAGGGACTGGCAGCAAGGAACTTTAGTTCAGGGACTTTCCAGTTGTTCCTCCTCAGATGTGGATTATCTCAGAATTGACGGGAGTTAGGGGATGGGCTGGTTCAAATCCCTGAGGGCATCTTTTCCCCTCATTACAACGTAATATTAAATTATTAGGGGGATTGTACAGCTTGCAGCCCTATTCCTGGGCAGAAATAGTCAATTTGGTTGTGATTTATTATTATGTTTGGTGTAGAGTCATTCAGACGTTTAGGCTGAATTTAGCATTTTTATCTACCTATCACGTCCCTCCTAAGGATCTGGGATAGGCAGATTTTGTCTGATGGCGTTAAAGGTATCATTGCCGGATGTAAACTGTTCCAAGTAAAGCTGCCTTTTGCAATTGACTGATGGTGGTTTTGTCAATGCCGAGGGTGTTTAAGTGGTGCTCCCGAGGTTTTGGAATTGAAACCAAGACACGATTACTGTTGCAACTATCTTTGTTTTCTTTAGCCACAGTTCTTCTATTTACAGGTCTTTATATTGTGCGATTCTCCCCAGTTCTCTCTCTTCTCTTCTGCTGTCTCCAGATACTGCAATGTCCACCATTCACTTTCTTTGTCTTTCTTATCAACAATTGTTAACAAGGGGTGTTATGTGGCAGGCAATAGTAGTCTGTTTGAATTATTATTGTCATCATTATTATATTTTCCTTCACTTCTCTCTCTCTTTAGCTCTCTCACTCTAGGCAGTGAACTAACCTTAGACCATTGGACAGTGTTGAGTTTCAGTGTTTAGTTTCTGTGGTCTAAAAAGCAGATTTTTAAGCAGATATCAGCCATGAAATCCTATCCTAGTATAATAAACAATGCTGCCTTCTGTTTTCCACACAGCAACATATATAAAGGTAAGCAGATTATAAAATTTATCTCCTTCAAAATCATTGTTGTATGAAATCTTGAAAGTTTCTTTCCCTCCATCAGACACTTATGTAACAAATTCAAAATGTCAGGTTTTTTTAACCAACATTTTGGGCCCTCCCAATTTGTAAATGTTGAGGGGAAACCATTATAGTTCTCAAATTCATATCTAAACTTATCTTATATTTTAAAAGCTTGTTCAATACATCAGTTTTAGACTAAACATTTGTTCCAAACCTAAAAAAATCATTAATAATTTTAGCTGGGGAAACTTCTATGGAATGATTCACAGAATTTGTGAAATACAGATTCTAGCATTAGTCTGCACACATATAACACTTCACCTCATAAAGCAAGTAATTGCCTAATGAAAATGATGTATTTTTCCCCCCCAGAATAACTATTTTTCTCAGGAATTCACAAACAAATGAATTACAATTTTGGTTCCTATGTCATAATAAAATCTTGGGCATAGAATCTCACAGAGTGACCTTGGACATGTTATTTCCTCTCAGCCTGACATACTAGAGAGGATTGTTGAGGGGGAAAAATGGAGGCAGGAAAGCCAGTTTGGTATATGTTTAAGAGGCTGGCCTTAAAATCAGGAGACTGCGAGTCCCACCTTAGGCATGAAAGCCAACTACTATGTGACTTTGGGCCAGTCACTCTCTCTCAGCCCAGCCCACCTCACAGGGTTGTTGTGGGAAAAAAGAGGTGGAGGAAGGAGTATTGTGTATGGTCACCTCCTTGAATTACTTATAAAGCAATAAAGGCAGGATAAATATCTAATAAATAAATATGCACCCCTGAGCTCTTGTATGAAAAGCAGGACATAAGTCTAATAAAGAAACCACAATCTAAATCAATTAGATTGAGCCCATTGTCATGAGCAGCAAAGCAGAAACAAGAAGGGTTTACAAGCAAGTGGGGCTCCCCACTATGGAAGAAGGAATTCCTCAACAGTCTTGGATAATGTTGCATTAATTTCTATAGTAATTATCATTTTAAGTTTACTACAATTTTATGCTGACAGTCCAATCTATTTGTCTCATAAGAAAGGTTTGAGGGCACATGACAAGTAACAAAATAAGCATTCATGGACAGTGTTGAATATGCTAATAAGGAGGGAAACCAAGGAATGAAGGTTTCTCTCCAGTCCGCCTTTCTGGCGGGAAAAATAATAATTTAAAACGATTGGTCTGCCCTGCTGGTGGGAAATTAGAGGAACCTCATTGGCTGGGCTGCCTGACTGCTCCCTTTAAAAGAGGGAGCTGCTGGACAGCCACTTCACTTCTTTGTACCAGTCTACGAAATAAAGAGCTGTTTGTCACTTGCTGAGAATCCTGCCTCTTCCCTTGACTCTCACCTAACAGACCGCAGTTCATTTCATCAGATGCAAAAAATGGGATTTTTGTTCAGAAATCTAACATTTGGTGGAAAAAAAGCCCCATTGTTGCACTCCACTAGAAGAATTACAACTACCACACCATCTTTAAAATACAATCTTGATATGTCCTTCAGAAATATACTTTATAAAAACAGGGTTATTTCTACATCGGGGGGGGTGGGGGGGGGGGCAAGTGGAATGGGAATAACTCAAACCACAGATGCATGGAAAGTTATCCTTAACAGCTAAACAGCATATTTTAACTGAGAAAAAGTATGGAAAAGGAGAGCTTCAGATTAATATTTACACTTAGTCCTCAGAATCCAAAGGGAGCAAAACGATTCTAGTACCATCAGAGTTTAAATTTTCCATTTGAAAATGAGATGAGACAGGGACTCGTTCAAGAGTATGTGGCACAAATTAAAATGGCTTCACATTAAAATGGCCTCATGTTCCACAAAGAAGTACATTATGGCTGCAGGTCTCCAAGACTCTTTCTCTTGTATCATATATTTTGTGCAGACATTTCAGTTATGTTTTATATTCCATGATATAGCAGTCTGTATGACAGAAAGATACACAAATAGTCTTCGCCTAACAAACACAATTGTAACTGGCAACTCTGTCACTAAGGACACAGCCATTAAGTGAGATATCACCAGACTGAACTGTGCTTTTACTACTGGCTTTTTTCCATTGACTCTGCTTGTTGGAAGCTGGCTGTGAAGTATGCAAAATGATGGTAATCACGTGACTGTGGGGTGTTGCAACTACTGTAAATGCAGGCCGGTTGCAAAACACCTAAATCTCGATCACATTATCACAGGGATGCTGTGATGGTCATAAGTGGAAGGATCAGTCTGAAATTTACTTTTTCAGCACCATCATAATTTGGAAAGGTTGTTAAACAAACCAGTCATTAAGCAAGGACAACCTGTATACACATGCAGATACCCCGAAGAGCAATCTGTAAATCTCAAGTGCCTCTTCTCACAGTTAACACCTATCAAAGGATTTTCAAAATAGCATCATTAATTATATAAAAATAAGAGATCATTTATGAATATATGCTTCCATATATTTTTCAGGCAGGATAACATTCAGAGCAAAAACCACAACCCAGCAACTGCAATCCAGTGAAAGCTCCTTCTACACAGCAACATTTGTGATTTTCTCACACATCATTCAGATGTCCTGGAGCATCAATATTCTCCATCCTGAGACAACACCGGCATTGCTGGGACTAGAAGATCATTTACAAATTTGTTCTGAATTTTTATCTGTCCTGAATTTTTTACTGATGTTCCAGTGGCATAAAACCACTTCCCTTTTGTACTTTGATTGTAAGTGAGTTTTAGGAATAATGGAATATGCCAGAAAACCATATTATTTCTCAATGTTAGTTAAAATCTACATAGGATTTTTTGCGGGGTGGGGAGGCCCTACCTAGTGGAATACATTCGTTGGGAAAAGTGGTAGTGGTGTTTACAAAAGTGCATGCAAGTTTTAATCAGCAAACTAGTTTTTAAAATATGGTTAGCGCTTCCCAGCAGCAGGCACTCAGTCGGAGTATGTAGGATGTTGCCTTTCTCTTGTTATTTTTCTCATATAAGAAAGATATTCTGAAACATAAGTGCATGGTTGAGTGCCAGGCTCCCGCGGTTGACAAGCAGTCCCCGCTGGAGTTGATTCGACATCCAAGTTTCTGTTAAAGCCCCTAATTCACTGTACTCACAGCATCCTCTAAGCGGGCATTCTCTCTCTTTAATCAAAGTGGGAGAAAAACTAGAGAGCCACCACTTCAATTGAAACCAAACCGCGCGCGTTTAGAAGGCCACGCCTCTTTCTTCCTTTTTTCCTCGTCAAGCGAGTGCGGCCAATCCCCCGCTTCCGCAGGATCCGATTCGGCCAATCAGCGAGTACTCCTTCGCTCTGAGAAAGATGGCGGCTTTGCGAACGGTTTAGTGGAATATGGGGCCGGCGGTGGCGGACGGACTCCACCATGGCAAACAAACGGCGGCAAGCGGTATCGGTAACTGAAAAGCTGATGGTAACGAGCCCGGCGAGGCGGAGCAATAGAAGAAGACCTGCTGTTGAAAGTGCCCAACGTGGCGAGAGTCCCTGTAGCGAAAACAGAGCAGAGGGTGAGAAGCGTCCCCCACCCCCACTGTGTGTACTTGGCATTTTGCATCTTTCAGCCCAGCTTTGGGCAACGCGGCTCCTCTGCCTGCGCGTCACGTTAGTTTCATCCTGAGCAAAAAGTATAATTTTGCACTGGATCACGTGGTTTATTCCCAAGGAATGGTGGCGAGTTTGGAACGCAGCTTCCACCATCCCACGCCAGCTGGGACTGATGGGAAGTTTAATCAGAAGCACCTGGAGGTAACAGGAAGGTTGGCGATCGGGTACCCCATTTAAATCCATAGTCCCTCTCCCCACCCTCCTGTTAACAATACTCTCCTAATTTATAATATTTGTTCCCCATTGTTTCTAGAATATTTACACTTTTTCCTACTGGATCTGCAAGTAGGACTTTTAAATGGGGAGTTAACGGCATTGCACTTAAAACACTTATTACAGCTTCAGAAAAAATAAAGTTCTTATCCTGTGGGTCTGCAAGGATCTCCAAAGACATATTTTTGTATGAACTACAAAATAAAGGCTTTTTTTCTTCAGGAACATTAAGGCTTGTAGTATCACACAGCTGTACCTCCCATTACCATTGATTAGCACTTTCATTGTAAGGAGAAAAAGCACTATAGCAAAATAGTGCTGTCTTCCCAACCTTCAAAGACAGTCCAAAAGGATATTTGTGATAAATGGTATCAAAGACCTAAGAAATCAAGCAGCTCCAGGAGAATCACACCAACCTTGGTTTTGCCACATGTTATCCATAAATAAAATTAATATTTCAGTGCCATGACCAGGCCTGAAATGTGAATGAAATGGGGCTTAGATAATCCATTTCCTCTAGGATTATCTGCATCTTTTAAACATTCTCCCACGAAAGGGATGTTTGAAACAGGTTAATCCAGAATTTCTGGATTAAACAAGGTAGGATGCATAAACTGGTCTCCCAGGGATGCATTTTCCAGCTTCATGACTAAGTACTAAGTAGAAGCTTTCCCTTATCTGGAGGGATAGTGCTCCAGATTGCAGGTGGGGGAGCTAATATCGCACGATCTTACCTCTTTTAACTCAAATGTCGGTGACCAAGCAAGCCTTTCTCATTAGGATTGTTCAGCTGGCATGGAATTCTAAACACTTGGGAGCAATTTTGACCACCAGTTGCTTAGATAATTTCTCACAACTTCCATAGTTTCATTTTTCTCAAGCTCATAAAGTGGGTATACATGTCCATTTTGAGTAGATGTTTTGCTTGTTTTACATTTTTTCATAGAAAGGTCTTCGTATAAGACACCAAAGAGAACTCAGGTGAGCAGATCACGGTTTCCTACTTTCAATTCTCCTACAAATGAATTGGATATGCAGCAAGAGATCTTTTGGGATCCTCAATCACCTACAACATATAAACTAGGTAACTATTGTTACATTAAAATTGTTTTCTGAGTAATTTACCTTTTAAAATGTGTGTTCAAAGGCCTTAGAACATCCTAGCTATACACGATGCTGAACTATAGTAACCTACATCTTTATAAATACTTGAGGCCATTTTCCATTAAAGCATTTCCAATTAACCTTGTTAAGTTTGCCAAATAGAAACAGCCTTGCTTACTTTAATGATTTTTACTGTCCTTTTGCTGTTTTATTTTTTTCCTTACTCTAATGGGTTTGTAATGATAAATGGGATTTTTTATTAAGTTTTATAGCTGCCCGCGTGACTTTGGTGACTGTAGCACACACAAAATAACAAAAACCAAAAATTCTTTGGGTTGATTTGTTCAATGATCCATTATTTGTTTCCTTGGTCCCTAACATTTTATCACATTGAAGTCCTCTTCAATACCAAAGTTCAAAGACTTCAATATTTTATCTATCTGATTTTTTAAAACTTTCTTTCTATAGAGTGTTACAGATAATACCATTGCTTGCACTATTTTGAGCTTTGCAGGTATAAACATCATGAAATCCAGATACCTTTTCCAAGGCTTTTGTGGCTATTCTATCTTGTGCTAGTCTGCAGCATATTTCTTGAGTGCTGTGATGTCTTCATTATAAGTTCTGGTTGTTGTAGTGTAGTTGTTTTTAATATTTAATTGTTGTCCTGTTTTTGTCATTCTCCTTGAGCTTAATGTATTTCTTCATTGGGAAACAATGAGTTCCCTTATTCCAATTCAGAAATTTCTTCTTTTTTTAGGCAACACTCAAAAGAAATTGACAGTTGGTAGACATACAGTCGAGATCTCAGAGATTGTTAATCGAATTGCTCCTCAGGTAATGATTTTCCTAAGATGTAACTCTATACACGTGGTATTTTGTACTTGCTTTTACATGAATTTGCATCTGATCAGCTTATACTATATGTGCAACAAAAAAGTAAAAAAAACCTACTTTGGGAGAAAAAAATATATATTTAGATCAGTCCCAAAGATGTTTTTTCAAAACTCTTTCAAGTGCAGATGGACTGCTGAATCTTGTCCTAATAGATTTGTTCTCTATGTTGTACCATGCTTTTTTCAAACCATCTTTCAGTCCATCTGTGTTTGAAAGACAAAAGTCACTCTTTTGAAGACAACAGGGTCCATATTCTGGACAGAGAGATCACTGGTTTGAAAGAGGGATAAAAGGGCTGCCTTTTAGGAATGATAGTCACCTAACAGTTGGGTTGGCAATATATTAACCAGGATAGTCATTTAATACTGTTGTATCTTTAAGAGAATGTTGTAATTGTGATTGGCTGAGGTTCCTCCAACAGCCATAAGATGGAGCCAGAAACCTGGTTTGTTCTCTTCTTGCATTTCCTTGTTGCCTTTTGCCTGATCGTCATTCTGCTGGAATTGCTGTGAGTCTTGCAACTGTTAGCAAACTCCGTTTACTGAACTTTGTTTATGATACTGGACTTCGTTTTTGGATCATCCCTGGACTGATTGCTTTGAATACTAACTGCTTTAACCGTGTATGATTTGGACTGTTTGTTGGACTTGGTTTACCCATTTACTGAAAGTAAAACCTATATTTTACTATTCAGTGTATCTGTGTGCTGGTTGTGTGTTATTCATCATTACTCTCACTACGTTTCCCTGAGGGCGCTCATTCTCCTAACGGGGAATCCCTCAGCACTGTCTTTGTTAAAATTGAACATATTGAGGGGGAGGGATATGACATCACCTATATCCTATTTACAACAGTCTTTTCAGCAGTTCCAAGAAGGTTCTATACTCATTTGCACTCTGATTCAGATTACCCTGAGGACACAAATAAGCACCCAAGTGGCCTTAATTACTCTCACAGAGCTAATGACTGACAACCACATGACTGCAAGGAATACAAATCCTTCCATTCCCCACCATTCAGTCAGAACTGAATAAGCTTCTTGGATGAAGCAAAACATCTTCAAAAAAACAAACTCGTTGCTTTTTAAAAAAGCACCTTTGGGAAAACCAAGGCCTGGATGACTGAGAATCTCCATAGATATATAGATCAGTGTTTGTTAAATTGTTTGAATAAATTACCTTTTTTCACAGCCTCAATGTCATTCACGCAAACCTTGTTTTTTTACCCAAGCTTCTCAGCAGCCGAAGTCACAAATTGGATTTTTGACTCACAAATAAGCAATTATAAATTGTTTCCTTTACTCAAGGATATGTTTAAACTACTGATTTAGATTATCAGACAACATTCAAATCCTGATCCTTCTGAATGTGAGGTTATTTGGCTTTACCTTAAGATGACAATCCTTAGAAAAAAACATCATTTGAACACATTGGAACTTAATTTTCATTGTATGAATTCAGAAAATAAGCCATATGAATTCAGAGTAGTGGTACAAATGTGCTTGCCATGTTCCTCTTCTCCCGGTTTGTGCTAACAAAAAATGACAGTGGATTTTCCATGTTGCTATAGACCTTAGCAGTATCCCAGTTCTGCCTGTTTTGACATTCCGCATTCAGCAGTGGAGTTATGGGATGTGGAAATGTAAGGGTGCTCTTTGAAATTGATTGAAAGATTGTTTCTGCCATAGGACTGGAATAGAACCATTTTTACTTTTTTTTTATGTTCTCCAAAGAGAATAGAGGTCAGCACCCCAGTGTATTATATACTTCCCTTTACCTAACCATCCATATTTGGGAAACACTGTGGTCACTGAAGGCCCAAGAAGTTCTTTTTTGTACTGGACACATTAGGAGACTTTTTGGCTGCTTGTGTCTGCTATTTTATAGTTACCTGTATGGGCAACTATATATGGGCTCCAGGAAATACAGTTGGGGAGCTCTGTTCCTCATTTGTTCAGACCCAGCCGGGTTCCCAAAGAGCAAACACAAATAAACTCAGTAACTCAAACTTTCACGGCTTTAATCTACAAATAAACCTCTTTGTAGATAACAAATGGCTTGCAGCCAATTAGTCCAATTAGAAAAACCTTGGCAGAAGTCTTCAAATAAACCAGAGTCGTTAATCACAACACTGAGTCCTTCGAACATTTTTGCCTTTTGTTTGCAAAGGCAAAAACCATTTGAAACCAGGCTTATATTTCCTGGAGGGAGGGGCCATTATGTTGCATCCTTACTCCCGAGTCCTCTGTGCAGCTTCAGCTGTTCTCTTCTACGAATCATCCTACACTCACGCACGCTTGGCACAGGCTCCTCGGGAACCTCCTCATCACTGCTGCCAGTCCCCACCATCCTTCCCCACCATCCCTGAAGGCAGCAGTCCACTTCCTGATGGTCCTGTCCCCTCCTCCAAATCCTCGCTCTCCACCGTCCTCACCTGCTGCCGGCTAACCACAACATCATTGATCTCAGGGAAGAGAAACAGACTGTGCCCCCTCCGCAAAGATAGTGAAATCATTCCCTTTGGGATCAAGCATTGGTGGCTTGGAAGAGATGAAGCAGAACGATGAAAGATTGATTTTCCTTTTTCCTTGTGACTCATGGGTTGTTTTTTATCTAGTGGATAAGGCAGATGTTCTTGCTAAGCTCTCCCCTTCATATCCCATTACTTTTTTAATCACCTGGGACCCCAAAAGGTGATTCTGTATTCCAGGAAAGCTAGCCAGCTGGAAAGAACACCTTGGCTTCTATCATAGAGAGGTTCAAGAGATGGAAATACGTTCAGTCTGTATATGTGACTTTGAGAAGATACTTCTCCTTGAATCTTCATTTTTATAGCCAGAGTGGATTGCTCATTCAGTTGTTTAGGTGCAGTGGAAAGAGATACTGGTAAGTGTTATATTATTATACAGGATGGATAATGTAAAAAAAAACAAAAGGAGGATAGCCAAGTATTTCTATATAGAGAACAAAACTTCAGCTATTTTTGGGGGGTGGGGGTGGGAGATGATCTTTTTCCATCTGGGATAGAAATACTTGCCACCAAGCTTGATATTCCTGGGAAATCTTGGGTTAGCCTAGTTCCAATGTGACGGACTGGAACTCGTTGGGGACAAGGGTCTTACAGGCCTTCTTGCCTTGGAAGGAGGAATCATTTTGAAGGACCACTTCATGATCTTCGCTCTCCATTGGCTCTCACTTCAATTTATTTAAATGCCGGGGGAAAGAGCTATAAGCCAGCGTCCAGGAAACTTGTGCTTTGTGTCCAAGGAAATGCGGTAATTCCATGTAATCGTATTAAAACTAATCACTCAGGTACTTTGAGATTAGGTTTGACAGAAAATTGGGATATAAATGTCTGAAAATAGCAGTGTCCATAACAGAACATGATGATGCCAGAAGAAGTATATATGTTCAAAGATACATTTGCAAAAATGCCATGATTATGTATCCTAATATATAATACAAATATGTAAAATGCAGCATATGTATTATATGCATGTTTGTCATTTACCCTCCTGAGGACAATCTCACTATTGGAAAATTCAGAAATACTTTTAGAATTCATAACACTGAGGTAAATTAAATAGGTGCTGTGTGTCCATTTAATCAAATTGATAAATGTTTATTCTTAACTATTTAGGATGAAAAACCTGCCTGTTATGAAGGATCTCTTCTTGGGCTGTGGATTGGCGAAGATGCAATTCCTTGTACTCCTGGAGTAACAACAGCACGATCTAGAACAAAAATAAATACTGCAAGGTATGTTGGAAAACTTGCTATTTGCTTTTTGGAATCATCACAAAATTTCTATGCAGAAAAACCAGAGAACGGTTTGACGTAGTGGTAACGTTGTTGAAAAATGAAGAACTATTTTTAAGAAGTTACTTTTTTTGCAGGAGTTGAATCTTATTGTAATACATTGATTCATCTTCCAATAATTATAAAATGAGCCATTCCCAAATACTTTATGTTGGTAATGTTTTTTTTCCATTGCTTGTTCATGTAGAGATCATCAGTTAAAACATGAAGAAGAGGAACTTATGAAGTTAGCAAAGCAGTTTGATAAAAATCTGATTGATGCAGTCCAGGAACAAAACTTTTTGCAGCCATGTTCTATCCATGTTTCAGCAGCAGCAAAACCATCAACTGACAATCATATCAAGATCCAAAGAGAAGATCAATGCCAATTACTAAAAGAACATCTTGCAATTAACTCTACTTTGTCCCACGGAAGACTTAAGGATAATGCTGGGATAGCTAAGAGTCCTAAGAGCAGTAGTCAGAAATCCATAGATCTGGATGCTGAAGGGGCACTAAATGAGCTTTTTGATTGTTCTACCCAAAAGTGTAGTGGCCAGTTGAGCCAAGGTATGTCAAACTATTCCTTGATCTCTGTTGTACAGGATAAGGATATTTTGCTGGAGGCAGAGAAGCTTTTGCTTAGTGATGAAGCTCAAGGGCAAAGTGCCATGCATCTTAAACAGCATTCCGAATTCCTTCTAACTCAAAAAGCTAGAACAACTCCTGTACAAACATTTTCAGGTGCAGAGCTTTCTAATAATAATCCTGATAATCCTTTCAGTGATGACAACTATGACTGGGATGCTGATTTGTTACCTGATGATTCACTTCTTATGCAAATTACTCAGGAGCCCGAATTGATGAAGAGTGCAGAAGATGCTCGTATTTCTGAGGAAAGGGGAGAATCAAAAAAATGGGCTGTAAATTCCAAGAAGCCATCTATCGCCCAGGCTGGAGTTGGTAATTCTTCCATTACCATACCAGTATCGTGTGTTTCCATTTCAAACCAAAACATTCAGACAGAAAAAGCCAAGATTATTCCTTTTCATGAAGATAGCTCATTAAAAACCAACAAGGTGGATTCATTTGCTAAAACTAGGCAACACAACACTCTGGACTATAATTTTACTTCAGTGAAATCTAAAAATAGTAATGTGCCTCATGGTCCTTCCCATCTTAAAAGTGCGACAAATATAAGTTCTGAAAAAAGAACTTCAATTCCATATTCTGATCTTGCTAAACTATCGACTGGGAAATTCAAAAGCCACAAGGTCTCAGTTGTTTCTGCCAATAAAAACCATCCTGATCTAAAGACAGCAGCTAACCAAGGAAGCTCTGATTGTCCACAAGAGACATCTGTGGCAAAGAAAGGGATGTTTTCATTTGATGATTGGAACGAGCCCAAATTTTCAGACGAAGTTCTAGAATTGTTTTGTGAATCTAATACCTCTTGGGGCACCCACTATGACGATGATGACGACTTGCTTTATCAAGTTTGTGATGATGTAGAAAGGAAAACCCAGAGCCAAATGGGTATAAAGGAAACTGGAAAAGCTAAATCAGTGGCAAAGAATACTTCCAATTTGGCTCAGAGCCTTCGTCAGCCAGGGCTTGGTCAAGGACTTTCCATTTGCCTGCAGACTGAGAAGAATTGTGCAGGCAGGAAGACCTTTTCGTTAGATCTGCCCATTGCAATAAGGAAGAATGAAAATTCTGTAAAAATGTCTACAGTGTTTGAAGGCACCTTTGCATCTGGAACTGGCATACCTACTATGTCCAGTGTGCAAATAAATATTAATAATAAGCAATGGCAGAATAGGCATGATGTGGGCAAAATAAAAACTAAATGCAATCAGTTGTCTTCTGAAAAATCCAAATATATGTTCAAAAAAAACAGTAGTTCTCAAGCCCTTGTTTTGGAAAATGTGAACGTAGGCAGTCTTTCTAGAACTAACAAGGGGCTGTGGGAAAGCAAGAATGCACCAAATGTTCCATTTCAGAAAGTCATGAATGGCAAGCCAGTTAAGAGCATTGATTTTACACCATCTGAGAAAGGTAGGTGTTGCTGGATTCTCCTCAAAATAACACAGTTCTTATAGGTAGCTGGTAAGCCATCTTCACTCATGGAATCCTCTGGGGATCCTTGGATCTGTATAGAATGCATGCTGGCATTGCAACATTATTTAAATTTGAAGTTCTGTCATGGATAAGATACTATATCTGAATAAAGGCATTGTTAGATGAGAGGAAGGATGCTTTTCATCCAATAATGAATTTTTGTTCCTCTATTGATCAGTTAGACTCCCTGGCACACCCACTATTGGAGCAGGAATACAGTGATTTCTTACAAGGGAAAGTCACTTTGGTATCATTTGGGCTTTATATTGTAAAATAAAACTTGACAAAATGCAGACATTCTATAAGGAGAACTATGTGGGTTCAAGTTTTTTTGTGCTACACGAGCTAGTTCCTCCCTACAAACTTTGTTTTCTCCATGGTGTATTTTTCTTTTATGATTCACCTGCCTGGCGTTAATGCTATCTGTTCTCATCTTTAGATGTAGCTAGGGGCTAATTTCATTCTGCCTTTTTAAAATCATTTCAGGATGATATCAATTATTTAACAAGATTGTCAAAATCTATGTTCAGAAATGAAACAATGCAAGTTATACTTACAATTAATAGTTGGACTTTTAATAATTGTTCTTCCTGCTTCACTTCCTTAGATTCTATGAATTGATTCTTGAAGAGGGCAACATTTTAAACTGCCCTTGATACAAATGACCCTCCCCCTCTCCTTTTACTTGGTAGATGTTTTTGCAAGAATTAGAGGGCAATAGTTATTCTAAAATATTATTAATAAAGTTCCTCTTACACCTGATCAGTAGAAACATAAGGTACTAGGTAAATGTGGCTACATCAGATCATTTGTCTTCTCTTTGCAGAATATAAAAGTAGGTGTTCTCAAGAAGAAATTGCACGGAAAAAGCAAGAAGCTCTTCAGCGAAGAAAGTGTAAAATGGAAGCACTGTTCAAAAATGCTGCACCTACTTGAGTACTTTTCAGTACAGAAGAATTAATGGCAGGTGGGCAGCGGAATAACTCACTAAAATATATGTCTATATTGAAGTGTACTGCCAATTTCTTCTCCTACCGCTGTCTTTATTCTTCTACAGAATGGCAGTATTAATTGCTTTTGAATTTCTTTCCTCCCCTCCTTTTTGGAAACACTATTGCTTATAACTCTTTATTTTTTTTATAAATTATTTATTTGGACTTGGGATATTAGATCTATTTAACTGATATCAATTCTTTTTTTTTATTAAACCATGCAATTGACATTTGTTGTTCCCCATGAAACATAATGTGTCAATTCTTACTTTGGAATGTTTGAGAAGACCAATATCCCAGTTTAATTAATTAAGTAATTAATTTAATTCTATGCTGGTCATTTAGTCCATTTCCCATGCAACATTAGTCTTTAAATTTTGTAACGAGCATTTTGTTTGTTCTGAGGTCATAAATGAAAACATTCCAAGCTTTAAAGTGTGTACCAATAATGTAAACATTTAATAGTGATCCTTGAATGTAACTCACAGCTTGGTTCCATTTTAATTTTATTTTACCACTGCATTACAAAGGACCGATTCTGTAGTGAAAGCATGTGAACGTTTTCTATCATTTATTTATCATTGTAAATCATTGTAAATTGTATACATGCTGTACATGTTTTTGATTAAACTGATAGCAATTTCTCTGATTATACTCTTGTCTAATATGTGACCAGAACCTAACCACTGTACTATTGTTACCTCTTCACAGAAGTGAAAGTGATCTGCTCTCTGTTGGAAGTATGTATCAGTGTGTTGGTGACTTCCCAGGCTGTTCTATTCTTCCATTCTGTAGCTCAACATAATAAACAGAAGTCAGGGAGATGATAGCTGGTCCCTAATTATGGGGCCTATTCATCTTCAGTAAGAAAAAAAAAGCAGTCTTTTTTCTGCATCATAAGACAAGAGTTGAGGATTGAGTTTCACGCACTATTGACTTAGAAGCAATGGACGTATTCTGATTTACAAAAATGGCTCTAGTTTCTCGCACTTCAGGATGTTTATTGTGAGGAGATGTTACAAGGGAACTAATTCTTCTAGATTCTTATGTGATTACAGCAAGTAATATATCTTGTACAAGATACCAGCCCCAGAGACATCATACCATAAAAGGATGCCTCTAAAACAGTTTCATACACGGCTAAAAAATACGGTCAGATCTGGATTTTTCAGTGAAAGGGACAAATGGAATATTGTATCAGGTGTATTCCAATTCAATACTCCAAATCCCGCTTCAGTTTGGGAGAATTTTTATGCAAATCTATTTACTAAACCTAACCAGGGCCTCCCATGTGAGCAAATTACTGATACTCTCTGTCCTCCAATGTTAGTGCCAGAAATCAAATTCATTATCTGAAATCTAATAAAGCATCTGGAGAAGATTCGTTTACTTCCAGAACTTTTTAAGACATGCACTGCTCAAAAAAAATAAAGGGAACAAACAACACAGTGTAACTCCAAGTCAATCATACTTCTGTGAAATCAAACTGTCCACTTAGGTAGCAACACTGATTGACACTCAATTTCACATGCTGTTGTGCAAATGGAATAGACAACAGGTGGAAAGCATAGGCAGTTAGCAAGACATCCCCAATAAAGGAGTGGTTCTGCAGGTGGTGACCACAGACCACTTCTCAGTTCCTATGCTTTCTGGCTGATGGTTTGGTCACTTTTGAGTGCTGGCGGTGCTTTCACTCTAGTGGTAGCATGAGAGGGAGTCTACAACCCACACAAGTGGCTCAGGGAGTGCAGCTCAAGCAGGATGGCACATCAGTGCAAGCTGTGGCAAGAAGGTTTGCTGTGTCTGCCAGTGTAGTGTCCAGAGCATGGAGGCGCTACCAGGAGACAGGCCAGTACATCAGGAGACGTGGAGGAGGCCGTAGGAGGGCAACAACCCAGCATCAGGACTGCTACCTCAACCTTTGTGCAAGGAGGGACAGGAGGAGCACTACCAGAGCCACGCAAAATGACCTCCAGCAGGCCACAAATGTGCATGTGGCTGCTCAAACAGTCAGAAACAGATTCCATGAGGGTGGTATGAGGACCCGATGCCCACAGGTGGGGGTTGTGCTTACAGCCCAACACCGTGCAGGACGTTTGGCATTTGCCAGAGAACAACAAGATTGGCAAATTCTCCACTAGTGCCTTGTGCTCTTCACAGATGAAAGCAGGTTCACACTGAGCTCATGTGGCAGACGTGACAGGGTCTGGAGACACCGTGGAGAACGTTCTGCTGCCTGCAACATCCTCCAGCATGACCGGTTTGGCAGTGGGTCAGTAATGGTGTGGGGTGGTATTTCTTTAGGGGGCCGCACAGCCCTCCATGTGCTCGCCAGAGGTAACCTGACTGCCATTAGGTACTGAGATGAGATCCTCAGACCCCTTGTGAGACGATATGCTGGTGCGGCCCTGGGTTCCTCCTAATGCAAGACAATTCTAGACCTCATGTGGCTGGAGTGTGTCAGCAGTTCCTGCAAGACGAAGGCATTGATGCTATGGACTGGCTCGCCCGTTCCCCAGACCTGAATCCAATTGAGCACATCTGGGACATCATATCTTGCTCCATCCACCAGTGCCACGTTGCACCACAGACTGTCCAGGAGTTGGGGGATGCTTTAGTCCAGGTGTGGGAGGAGATCTCTCAGGAGACCATCCGCCACCTCATCAGGAGCATGCCCAGGCGTTGTAGGGAGGTCATACAGGCACGTGGAGGCCACACACACTACTGAGCCTTATTTTGACTTGTTTTAAGGACATTACATCAAAGTTGGATCAGCCTGTTGTGCTTTTTTTCCACTTTAATTTTGAGTGTAAGTCCAAATCCAGACCTCCATGGTTGCTAAATTTGATTTCCATTGATAATTTTTATGTGATTTTGTTGTCAGCACATTCAACTATGTAATGAACAAAGTATTTAATAAGAATATTTCATTCATTCAGATCTAGGATGTCTTATTTTTGTCTTCCCTTAATTTTTTTGAGCAGTGTATATTGATTGGTGGGCCCTATTGTTGGCAAGGCTGTTCTCCCATATATTAGTAATGAAGGTTTCATCCCATAGTCCCTATAAAAAAGGAGATGAAAGTGACCCAAAAATTATAGACTGATAAACCTTACTGGAATTGTGGCTAAACTATATGCAAAACATCTTTTGAGCAAAATTAAAGACTGAAAGAGAGAAAAAGCTGAATTTAGATGAAAGTGTTCCACAACAGACAGTTGTTTTATTTGACGCCATCTCATAACAAAACAACTAATGAAAAGAAACCACTTACTACCTCTATAGGTCTCAGTGCAGCTTTTGATCCTATAAACAGGAATATTTTGTGGAAAAAAGTCAAATATGGAAACCAGACACTTGTTCTTGGTTAAAGCCCTTTATACCCACTTGAAAGTCCATACTGGTGTAAATGATTATGTAACTAAAAGTATACCTATCCATAATTTAGGGTTGTATTCTAGCTCCAATGCTTTTTAACCTATATGTCTATGAGATTCCAGGATTCCTGTACGTTTCAGACATTCATGACAAAGATCCATAATAAATTCAATAATATCTTTTTATATGCCAATGATATGGTTCCATTGGCACATTCAAATAAGCCTGGGAAGTCTTTGTGAAAAATAAATACCCCACTGTGTTCTTAAATTTTTTTAAACCTCAATAAAAGTAAATCAAAAGAAATTTGCAAAAGTATGAAATATAACTGGCAAATAATTGGTGAACCTATTTTATAAGTGAATTTCTTTACTTTAAAAGTGGTTTTTACCAACATAGGGTCGTGGATAAATGATTTTGAAAGAAGTTCTGCAAGGGTTGAGGCAAGTACTAAAATATTAAATAGTTTTTTAAATTATAGTTACTCAAGTACCTTGATCCCTGTACCGAAAGTATTCAGGGCAAAAATAGCCCCAATAGTAACACATTTGAATCAGTTCAGACCCATTTTTTAAAAAAGCGTACTGGGATCTGATGAAGTGTCAGCCCCTGCAATCAGCAGAAACAGCTGTCCATTCCGAACAAGGCCAATCAATAATTAAATTTTTGCATATTGGCAGAGAATCCATTCAATAGCGCTTGATGGACTACCCGACGCATGCCTAACAGAACAGGAAAGTATGGATCAGCCCTATTCCTGGATAATCCTACTTATCAAAGTTACTACATAGCTTGAGTTGTCTACCCAATATATATTCTCAACTGTCTCCCAACCATTTTTAAAAATAGAAAATTGTAGATATCTGGGCCCAAACAGATGGTGTTATTGGTAAAAAAAAAAGATAGCTAAGAATAAAACTATTTTCCAATTTGAAAAATACCTGTCATTGAGTTTGTCACAATTCTAGAAGGGCAAGATTTGAGTTGTTGGATTTCATGGCTAAATATAGCCCCTTCTATCATCTGCCATGTACATGCAATGTCCCATGGAATAAATTTTCCATAGGATTTCTTTTTGAATTCTTCAAACTGAACACAGTTATGTTACATAATTCATTATATAATGGACCTTTAAAAAAGAATTAGACAAATCCTGGACTATAAAGGTATCGATGGTTATTGGTAAATTAGTTCCAAAATCAGAAGCAACACTAGGAAATATTTATGCTCTTCTGGCATCCCAGAAGAGATTGGTCAGCTACAGTGAGAAAAGAAATCTGAATCCATATAGCATCTTGTGCTTGTTATAACCAATGCTGACATTACATTGTTTGAAACACTATTATTATAATCTTCCTCCATAGAGAATCTGGTGGGGATTGTCAGTGTAGGGAAACAAGTTAGAACATCACCAACACACTGATGCATTCTTCCATCAGAGAGAAATCATTTTCACTTAACTGAAATTTTCATGCATGTGATGCATGTTTTCTGATAGATTTGCAAGAAATAGCGGAAACCTCTCACATTGTAAGACGTCTATTGTGGGGAAGTGTATTTAACATAGTGCAACCTATTTTGTCCCAGATGATTCTAGGTAAATATCTGGATTAAAGTTTTCAAGTAAAAAAAACCACAGCAATTGTCTTCTAAGAGCCAATCTGGTGTGGTGGTTAAGACACCAGGTTAAAATGAATTCTAATCCAGCCTTAGGTACAAACCTAGTTTGGTTACCATGTGCCAGGTGCTCTTTATCTGCCCTAGGAAGCAGGCAAGAGCAAACTACTATTGAAATCATACCAAGAAAACTAAGGAATTTCTCCAGGCAGTCATCAGGAGACAGTACTGACTTGAATCATTCCCCTCCGAAACGTCCTCTAATGACCAAGAATTGGGTTGAATTGGGTTGTTGAGGTCATCTCAAAACACCCTGAAAACCATAGGTGTTCAAACTCACCCATCTGCAATAGTCAGGGTTCCGGTGATTGCTCTAATTAAATTATGAGCCTCGAGCCAAGCTTCCAAAGAATCCAAAAGATTTATTAGGAGCAACATGTCGGCATTAACCTAAATGAAGCCAACTCTGGTATATGTAATTTAGAGTCACCTGTGATCCTGTCCCCCCCACCCCCCGGGGTGTCATCAATCACATTCTCCAATGAAGGATTTGGGGGGAAGAAGATCCGGTAGCCTAGGTACAATCTTTGTAAGATAAACGTGGAATGTACTTCTGGTTTTAAACTGCCATAGTGCTCCTTCACATTCCCCCCCCCCTTGTTTATGGCAACTCAAAAACAGACATAGGAATATTTTATGAGTTGACAGTATCATTATAATTCTAGCCCGCTTCCTAACTATTGCAGTAGTATTAAGACTGTTTTTAATGACCTCCCCTATAATCATGTTTCTATTGTGTATTTAAAATAGCTAGGTTTTTTTATCAATTACAATAAGTGTTTTATTGGATACACAGCAAAAAGAAAAGCCATGTTTCAAAGTGCATATTTCAAGCACAAAACTCCCTCAGACAATTATATAGTTTATGCAAACATTGAAAAATGTAGAAATCTGAATTGGATGAAAGAAGGAAAAATCCAAGCACACAAGCCTATCTATCCTCCATACAGTTTGACTCATTTGTAAAGCAGAGTTCTGGTTACATACAATCAAAGAAATGGCCTGTCTTATACAAAAGCTGAATATAAAGGAAAAAACCACATGTATGAATATAGATAATACTTGATTTACATCCATTCATTCAAATTTGAAATTACAATGGCAACGAATAAAGGGATTCACAACCTATATCTGAAGTTATGGCTGCTGTATGATTGGCAGGCACATGAAGAATATTTAGGTGCTTTGCAATCTGCCACCCTTAAGACGGACCCCAGGAACACTCCAGTTGTTCCTACCTGCCTATCTTCCCTCTCATCTCGCCCCGTTGGGTCCCTTGGGCCTGCTTCCTGCCCTGCTGGGTCCCACATCCTTAGGGCTCCTTCCCTACACTCGTGACTTGTTCCACAACTTTTCCAACGATCACCTTTCCAAAGGTGAAACAGCCAATGTGCCATGTGGTCTTCCTACACAGAGGCCACGGATGCCATTCTGGAAGCAAGTGCCATATTGGGAGCTGGTGCAATTCTCGCATTCTTCTTGCTTCCAAAATGGCACCCGCTTTCAGGGTGGTATCCCATGGCTTCTGTGTAAGATGGCTGCACAAAGGAAACTCTTTGGGAAAGATGGCTTTCAGAAAAAGCAAGTAGAGTGGAGGAAGAGATTTCCAAGGGTATGGGACCAAGAGTGGTGGGAAGCTGTTCAAGGGAGGCCTTTCAGAAGAGGGACAAGTATCATTTGGGGACGTGCTCTAATGTGGGCCTGCATCTCGCCTCCCAGGGCCTTTACCAGTCTCTAAGGGACCCATTGTTCCAATTAATAACCACAATGCATGGTGGTCATTAAGTGAGGCAATCATGTGGACTCAATTACAACCATAAATCCAGGCTCAATTCTGGTAGTGAGGGCTAGTTATACTGCACAGAGAGAAGTCCAGAGAAGACATTGTTCACGTATTTCATTTTCAAAAGGGCAAGGGATTGGAAGCTTAGCTTATAGGACTTGTTGGAGGAGAAGAGGCTAAATTCATGCTAGAGGAGCTGCCATCTCCATGCTCCATGCTTTCGACGTTGCTGCTGCCATCTCCATGGTCTACACTTTCGACGTTGCTGCCATCTCCATGGTTCGCACTGTCGTTGTTGCTGCTGCCATCTCCATGGTTCGCACTTTCGATGTTGCTGCCACCGCCACCTCCTACTATAAAGAAACTACCTCCACCCTGGCTAAGGCCACTTCTGTAGCCAAGACCACTACCAGCAGCCGAACCTCGTGAAATACGTGAAGAGATAACAGCTGCGAAAAGAAGAGACAGAGAAGACGATGAGCAATTTCTGTTCTAAGAAAGGCAGCTGCCTTGTAGAAATTATAGGAAGGGTAATCACTACGGACCCTTGTCAAGTCCATCCTTCCTAAAGGACCTTCCAAGATTCAGAATGAAATTATTTTAAAACCTCTCTATTTTACTTCTCAACGGTGCCAAAGGTCAGATGAAAGAGCATTGATGAGCTTGCTTGAGATCAAATGCAAGAATTCCAAAGCCATATTGAGACCGCAGGATGAAATTACTAACATGTTGTGAGATTTGGTGATGGATCAGAGTTCCTACAGATTTGTAAGTTGTTGTCTGAGGCCTGAAAAATTGGTTGAATTCTGTCCTATGAAAATTCTACAGGTGTTAAAAAAAGGTACAAGGAAGCAGATGCAGATGTTCACCCCATACTTATGGTACTATGTTGACGTAACACACCAAGAACTTTGCTGTGCTTCTGCTAGTCTAAATGCCGCAGTTGCAACTGCAAAACCTACAATTGTAGCGGAAGAGACAGGAGGATGGAAGGGCAACACAAAGTGCAGTTCCCTCCATCTAAATAGAGGCAAGGAGCCTCTTAATCAGCACTGGACAGCAAAGGTCCTATAATGTGAATATTCTTCACTATACTTACAGACATTCACCGCACCTGCTGCATCATTTTTCAGGAATCTGTCAGGAAACAAAGCAGAAGCCAAGCATGGATAAGAATTCAAATGTATTCTGAGCATATACAGCTGATTGAAAGGCAAACCAATGTTGTATGACAATTGTTGCAAAGTCATCGAATCTTTAGAGACACTGAAGGATAAACTTCAAGGGGAAAAGACTCACTGTGCCCACAGAACTAGATGCTAATGGGGATTGTTTTGATGGAGTTTGAGGATTTCCACCAAAAAAACACAGCAAAACCTGTAAAGGTCTATTTAGATGGGCTCTCACTGACCGATATTCTTCTCCTTCCAGGAGCTTTCTGTAGGTTGCAATCTCAATATCCAGGGAGAGCTTCACATTCATTAGCTCTTGGTATTCCTTGAGTTGCCTGGCCATCTCTTGCTTGGTTTTCTGAAGGGCATCCTCCAGTTCAGCCAATTTCTGCTTTGCGTCTTTGAGTGCCAGTTCACCTCGGTCTTCTGCTTCAGCAATCTTTCCCTTTAGGTTAGCACACTTAAGGGAGGAAGGAAAGAGAAATTAGCACAGAAGGCGATCTCCTCAGAACAGAGTAAAATATCTTCAGTTATATTATCCCATAAGCAGATATGGTAAACTTATATTTGGCCCAAGACCCATCCTTGGACACCTGTAGGATCTCCAAGGACATACCCAAAATGTCAAGGGCCACCTGCTCCAAACACTGTAAGCTTGGATGGTACTAATGAAATAATATGTGCAGAAGTATTCCAACTTTGGAAGAGCACCTCTGAGTATAGAATCATACAATGATACGGCTGGAAAGGACCTTGGAAGTCTTCTACTTGAACCTCCTGTCCATGTCAGGAGTCTTTATACTATCCCGGACAAATCTTTTCTTGAAAACCTCCAGTGATGAAGCACCCACAACTCTGGGAGGGAAGTATTCAAATTTGCAATGGGAAATTTTCAGTATCCTCTATGCAGCAACTGGTCTGTTGTTTCATGACTAGTGACAGGATTGCCTTCTTTCCAACAATTTCCCAGGATAGTTAGCAGTATTAGGGTCAGCCATGTTGCTGCTGCTTTATGCTTGACAGGATGAAGTATCGTGTCATGAAGTACATGTAGTCCTTGATTAATGACACTTTGAAGTTATGACAGACCCCCGCCCCCAAAGTTACTTACAACCCAGTATTGAAGTTATGGCCTTTATGATTGACTGTAGGTGTGCTGCAGTCAACCCACGCTATCTATCTTCCACCCCCATACTGTCCTGAGCCTGCTTCTCATCTCACCAGGCCCCATAAACCCCACATGAATTGTGGCTCTTCTGAAAATGGTGCCCCCTTATGGGATGACTTCACATAGCCCAGGGATGCTGTGGGGTAGAACGTCCTGTCCTTCTGCCCCAATGCAAGCTCCAGGGCCTTTCTAAAGTGTTTGATTGGTGTGAGGAGGAGGATGTGGTGGGGTGGGAAGCAAGCCTAAGGTATGTGGGGACCAGTGGTGGTATTCAATTTTTTTTACTACCAGTTCTGTGGGCGTGGCTTGGTGGGCGTGGTAGGGGAAGGATACTGCAAAATCCTATTCCCTCCCCACCCCACTAACCTGCTTTCCAGCTCTGTTCCCCTATGCAGGGCAACAAAAGAAGACTCAGCCGATCAGCTGGGATTCAGGAGGCAGAGAATAGATGGGGGCAGGGCCAGTCAGAGGAGGTATTTGCTGGTTTTCTGAACTACTCAAAATTTCCACTACCGGTTCTCCAGAACTGGTCAGAAGCTGCTGAATAACCACCTCTGGTGGGGACCCCGAGGGAGGGTGCCTCAGGGAGTCAGGAAACCTTAAGAAAACAAGGCAGGCATTCCTGGGTGTATGCGAGGCCTGCCACATCTGAGGCACCCCATGTTCTGCTTAATGACAATATTGGGGAAACCTGGGGTAGGTTCATTTAAGCAAGGCAATGACAAAATTGTTAAGTGAGGCGATTACATCACCTGACAACTGTAACAACTTGCAACTGGCAGGCTTCATTACTGTCATATGTCAAGGGCTACCCGTAAATGGAAAGTTGAAAGAAGTGTACAGACCAGGGAAAAGATGACGGTTTGCAATTGCATGCCAGCCAGGAAATTTACAGCGGTTTGGAAAAAAAAATGGTATGGGGAAATTATGTGGTTAAGCATCATAGATGCTGTGCTATACTTTGTTTTGCGGGCAGGTAATGTAAATAGGTAGATTATCTGTGCGTGTCCTATTGTGTTTCATATGTAGTGGTACCTGGGTATTTGACTACGTCAAAACTCATTGAATTTGGTAACTTGATGCATTTTGATGCAAAAATGTACTCGTACTTTCTTTGGTATTTGGCATGTTGCAAAAGGAAGAGGAGGATGACCACAGAGGGTGGACAGGGGATGGGCCATGCTGGAAAGGTCCCTGACAAGAAAAAGGACATGCAGAAGATTTTGTACCTGGCCAAAACAAAGAGTCATGTGGTAAGTCTCCTGTTTGTTTGGCACTCTTAGTTTTTAGTACCCATTGTGCCTCTTAGAACCAATTGACCTTGAGTACCACTACACAGGTGTTGCTAATTTTGAGGTTAAATACGTGGTAAAAGGTAGTATTATTTTAAGGGTGAAAAAATAAAATATTTCAACTGGGGAATAATCTGCACTTTGGAAATGAATGGGAAGATCATGAAACGGATATTCTTTCTGGCCAGAAATATGGCAGAGCAGAACCACTGTATGATCACAACTTTGGGAGAATGCGGTAACCTACCTGCTTTTTCACACCTTCAATTTCAGCCTTCAGCCTCTGGACATGTCGGTTAAGTTCTGAAATCTCATGCTTGGCATTACGAAGATCATCACTGTGCCTTCCAGCAGTACTCTGGAGTTCTTCATACTAAAAAAAGTAGAAAGCAGCCACTGTGGTGTTAATTATTATTTAATTGAGTCCGTTTGTGAGAGTATCTATATCTATATCTATATCTATATCTATATCTATATCTATATCTATATCTATATCTATATCT